TTAGTTTTCTTCTGAATGTTGAGCTTTAAGCCAACTTTTTCACTCTCCTCTTTCACTTTCATCAAGAGGCTCTTCAGTTCTTCTTCACTTTCTGCCATAAGGGTAGTAGCATCTGCATATCTGAGGTTATTGATATTTCTCCTGGCAATCTTGATTCCATCTTGTGCTTCTTCCAGCCCAGCGTTTCTCATGATGTACTCTGCATATAAGTTAAATAAGCAGGGTGACGGTATACAGCCTTGACGTACTCCTTTCCGGATTTGGAACCAGTCTGTTGTTCCATGTCTAGTTCTAACTGTTGCTTCCTGACCTGCATACAGGTTTTTCAAGAGGCAGGTCAGGTGGTCTGGTCCCATCTCTTTTGGAATTTTCCACAGTTTATTGTGATCCACACTGTCAAAGGCTTTGGCATAGTCAATAATGCAGAAATAGATGTTTTTCTGGAACTCTCTTGCTTTTTCTGTATATTTACAGTACAGTTAATGTTTTATATCCTTCTCTTTACATTTAAAGACTTTGTTGTACTTGTGGTCACTTTGATTCTATTTGTTTCCTAGGCAATATTTCGGAACAGTTTCTAGTGATAGTTAAACACATTCTTTTTATATGACTGTGTACTATTTTTACTCTCAGAATAACCACTTCTCTAAGTTTGGTGGCAATTATTTATATATTATATAGTTACTTCAGATTGTTCTTTCAAAAAGTTGGGCCGTAAGAGAATGGAAGTTGTTGGAGATATTTTGGTCCACAAGAAATTATTTTACAGGGTAAATTTAAATGTACTTTTAGGCAGAGAAGTAGTTGGTGAAGTAAGAGAGATTATTTTAGAGACAGTGAAGATGCAGAGCCTGAAAGATGGGTAGTAATGGAATCAGCAGCACAGAGTATAGAGGAAAGCACAAAGACGCTTTCTTTTTTCTTAAACAGGGGTGGGAAGATGACTGAGAATACCTAAAAGTGAAGTTGAAAATTGAAGGGAACATATGACTTCAGAAATGGAGAGATGGTAAGGACAGATACTTCTTCCAAGTGACCTAGGTCTTTACTGTAAAGGAGATCATGCAGAATCTTGAAAGCTGAGCTGGGGAAGAGTATAATTGATAGCAGGGGCAGTAAGGAGGAGCTCTTGTATATTCTTCACTGGGCAAATGGCAATAAAGTAGTCTTGTGTTAGTTTATTTGGGGAAGAATACATTGGTAGATTATAATGCTGTAAAGCTTGAAATGGATATGGACGTAGGTTATTAAGAATAAAGACTAAGAAGAGTCCAAATGAATTGTAAGGGGTCACTTTGTTTGGGAGTTAGGGGTAGACCAAAATTTGCAAACCACATCAAATGTTCATCACATACTATGTCTAGAAATGTTACTTTAGGTATGCCTACATTTGTTGAATTGCTTATTAACATTATTGACTGTGGAAGAGAGTTGTTGGGCAGAGTAGGAGGTTTATTGGAAGAAGAAAATAAAAAGGGGATAGTGTGAGAAACCTGCAGCTCTGATTAAGTCTCTTATTCAATCCAGACAGCTTTTTGCAGTTATTTCAAATCTCATGAGTTTCTGCATTTGGTTCCTGCCCTGTGTCATTCATTTAGGTTGAGCCAAATATGTGCCATTTTAATAGTTTATTAGTGTTATTAGTTTTTTTTCTTTCTTTCTTTTTTTCTTTTTAAGGCATGAAAACTTTCTGTCTGCATTTTAAGATCTTTGGAAAAAAGATCTTAGAATGTGTTCTTTGTATCTAGTATTTTGCTCTGTACAATGTTAGAATCTCAGTTTTCATTGTATTACTTTAAGCTGACTGAATTTAGCACTTAATAGCTATTGAATAAGTGAGTGAAAGCTGTTCTGAGAAATACCAAGGAAGAATATCTACCTTTCAGATACCAAGATAAGATACAGGCACATGAAACAGAAAAATATAAAAGTGAGATAGTTTATGTTTGAGCCAGACATGATACAAGTCTTGAAAAAGAATCATTCTGGATTCTGGGCATGAATTACTAGTGATTATAATCAAGAGAAAGATTTTTATTTTTTTCAATATAGAAGGGCCTCTTTATGTTTAAAGTTGGGAGAATAAAGAGAGAACAGTAAAAAATGAGGAATACTTCAGTATAATTAAGATATATATATATATATATATATATATATATATTAAAACTAGCAGGAGTGAACCAGCTTGGTAAGTGGCAAGGGGTGAGGAAGCATGGGCTCTGCCTCTTGAAAGGGTGTTGGGGTAGGAGTTAGATGCATGTATAAACTAAGTGTGACACAGGATGATCATGCCTGATTGTCCTCCTTTGTCTTAAAAGTGGGAGGCCCATATGGAGCTTTGATTAGTGGATGAGCAGGAGTTTCAGGTGGAGAAATGTCTAGAGTTTAGTCAAATCTTAAGAAAAAAGTATGAGTCGGGTGATTAACAGTGTTGATGGCGTTTTCTGATTTGGTAGTGAGCAAAGCATTGAAATTCAGATTCTCAGATGTACGCAGGAGGTTGCACATGGGGCTAGGTGAAATGGTAAAGATTAAGCCATGGGGGAGAAACAAGAGATTTATTTTATAATCTGACATATTTCCTAGCCTGTTGATTTTCTTGATGTACTAATGAGTACATTTAAAAAAATCCAGCAAATTAGTAAGTCTCTTCAAAAATCAGACATACGCAGATACCTGCTTCGATTAATTATACTTTGGTTTATTTTAGGTGAAAAGTAACACTGAGAACTTGATTTTTGTTTAAAGATATTTCTCAAGGAGAAGTAGGAAACTTACAGATGAGTTTTGTCTCTTTTGCCATGCTTAAAAAGTTTTTGTGTCTTTATAGATTATTGTCTTCCTTGGGCCGATGAAGATTTGTTTTCCCAGACTTTTTGCACCTCATTCTTGCTAGCTGCCTTATCATTTTCATACCTGTCTCTCTGTTTGTGGATTTACCAATATATTTTCTAAGTACCCTAGGCTGGACCATATACTTTAGTATGTGGTTGTATTATATGTAGAGATTACCTTATTTCATTTATGAGTGATAAGCCTGTTGGAGTATTCTAAAAATGTAGCTTTTGTGTGCTTATTAGCAGTCACAGTGCTTTGATTCATTGATACTTCTAAGTTTGGTTCTATACTTTCATTATGTTAGAAGTTTACCTTATATTTGTCGGTGCTAGTACCAATATGATCACTCTCCATATGTGTAGAAATAGTTAAATGGTTCAGATGTATATATTAATCTTTTTCACTATTTGCACATAAAGGCTTTTGCTAGGTTTAAATAGCTGCTAATGGCAGAACTTATTTGTGAATCTGTCTTACATTCTACCTGACACTTCTGCTAAAAAATGTTATTCTTTCTTATTGCTGCATTCTGTATTTTTGTGGGTTTTTTGTAATTTATCAGCCAACAGAAATGTTTGAAACTACTTTTTGGTGCCCTTGCAACATAAGAGAGAGCAGTTCAATAGCTGCTTAGTCTGTTGTCGCTTCTCCTTGTCTCATATCCAGCCTCAGTAGCTGTGTTTCAGTAAATATCACTTCAGAGATGGTAACGTGTGTATTCTGAAGCCTTGTTGGAGGTGACTTTATCATTCTATTTTGTATTTCAAATAATTACACTAAAAGAAGCCACAAGAATGGTCACTAGTACTATTCTCTAAGCTGAATTATTAGCTAAATAATCATTTACAGGCATGTTTTTATGCCTAAGTTCTCCTTGATTTACAGTTCTGTGCTGCCCACATTTCAGAAATTTATCAAAACTTCCAATTCTGTATTTTGTCAGTTTGAAATCCCTGACTTATGTTGCATTTCCCTCATGAACCCTTCTACGCAGCTATGTCTTCTGACTTTAAACTGTAAGTCTGTAAGATGTTTATAACCTTTAGCACCCCCTTCTAAGTGTGTTTTTTGAAAATATAGCCATTAGCAGATTGTACTTCCTGGAGTATTATCAAGATTTTTTTTAAAATCAAGATTATTTTTTAAAGGTTATAAACAACAGAAATTTATTTCTCACAGTTCTGAAGGCTGGAAGTTCATGATCAGAGTGCCAGCATGGTTGGGTGAGCATCCCCTTCCAGGTTGCAGACTTCTCTTTGTGTTCTTCTGGTTGAAGGGTCAAGGATTTTAAATGTATTTCAGAGCCTGTTGAGTTGAAAGTTTCTTAGTTTTAATATACTTGTGTTTTCATTTCAAGGATAGTTTGAAAAAGTAGTGGTGAGGAGTGGGGGACTATGTACCATCAGTTCTGATGAGAATTGATGCTACCATCACTCCACATATTAGGACATATTGTCACATCTTTGAGAACTGAGATCTAAAGATGAGATAATGTTTTGACATCTTAATGCTTGTAGTATTTCTTTGCTTATTATGTAGTTAGAATTGTCTTGTACATAGCTGTGGCCTAAAACCAAATGTAATTCCAGAAACAAACATTTGGTGATGGTTTTTTGTAGAGCCTGGGAAAATACTGGTTAAGATATTGCCAGCAACGTTGAACTTAAATATAATTAAATTTTATTGTTAGATTATCATTCCGTTTTTTGATGAAATTATCTTTTAGAATTTTTTGTTGTTTTTGTGATGTTTTGCCAATTGACAAATTGACAAATTCAGACCTATCATGAAGTCTGGTCCCCTAGTATTTTACAACCTTTTTTTTTATGCTTTTAACCTCAGTTTTCTTACATAGGGGAGTGAAATTATTCCTCACTTCTACTTTATTCTCCTAGGTCTTATTTTTTCCTAGGACAGCTTTAATCTTTTTTTTTCCCAGATAAAGTTTTGTAAAATCCTAGTTTGTGCCTTCAATTTATATACTGTTGATTCTTATATGTCAATTACCTATTGAATTATTCAACACACTATTTACTTGCACACACAAGTAATCTTTTTGGGAACATCTGTATGTAGATTTAGCAAAGAATTAAGCATACAATGGCTCTTTGTCACAGTGGACTTTTTGTTTATTTCTAAAATTGGCTTTTTTTTTTAAACAGATAAGTGTAAAGCAGGAAATTACTTTCACTGATGTATCTGAGCAACTGATGAGAGACAAAAAACAAATCAGAGAGCCAGTAGACTTACAGAAAAAGAAGAAACGGAAACAACGTTCTCCTGCAAAAGTAAGAGAATATTTTAAGGTGGTGGTCCCATACTGTTGCTTAATCTTATAGGCAGGAACTTGGCTGTTCCATAGGTCTCATGTGGCTTATGGAGTTGGACTGTTGCATCAGGAGTAAGGGAGAGATGCTTGTCTGCTTGGAGGTGGTGGGCCATTGCTTTAAAATTTTCTACTTCCCTTTCACGTGTCTTTTTTTTTAAACAAACTTTTCTTACCCCATATCTCTCTTTTCTTTAAAAACTAACTGATAATATGCAGTGCCCTTGCTTCTCATTCATATTAATCTTACTTATTTTAGTATTCCTGTTTCAGGAAAATTCAGTACCAATTGGTCATGAGGAAAAGGTTGTGCAATACCTGTGATAGACTAGAATGTAAGCTCCATGAGAGCAGGGACTTCATTTTATTCACAGCTATGTCCCAAGAGCGCGGAATAGTAGGCCTAAGAGATTCTCAATAAATACTATGGTTAAATGAATGGCTTAGTAAATAAACAAGTGACCCATAAATACTATTAGGAATTGCCTGCCTTTTTTTCCTTTCAGTACAGTAGTAGCTGACTGTATATATCATTTTGATATTCCTAGGAAGTCTCAGTATAATTTACATCTTTTTACAGTTATTTTTCATCTTTTTTTTTTTTAAAGATTTTATAACATGATCTTTTTTATTTTGAGGGCTACTTGCTTTTGTATTTGTGGTTTAAATCATCATCATTATTTATGCATTTTGTATACTTTTGGATATGTGGTGTGCTGCGGTTTGTACTGGCTTGCCAGAGCTGATTAATAAGTTTTCAGGAATTTTGCAAGCTAACTCTGAAACCATTGGTAATTTGAAATTAGCCACGGTGAGAATATTTATACCGTGGAAATCAACATCCCTGCTCTAACCCCTTAAAATGTTAAACATTTACCAATATGCTGCTTTTGGGATACATGTAAATATGGTTACTGCATAAGATTTTGAAAAATATAAAGACAAAAATAACGCATTTATTCTTAGAGATAAATATTTCAGTTTTCTGCCATATTCCTTTTCTGTTTTCAAATTTGTATAGGTTCATTGAATTTCCTGTTTGTAACTAGAGTATGTAAGTTATTTTTAAAGTTATTAAAGATTTTTACAAATATTAGCTGCATATGTATTATTATTTTGATGTGTCACATCATATTCAATATTGCTATGTTGTTGGAAAGTTGTTTTCTCTTTGTCGTCATTTTAAATCATGTTGCACTTGAAATATTTGTGTATACATTTCATGTACTGCTAAATCAAAGGTTGTGAACTTTTTAAAAGGTTTCTTTAAAAATTAAATAAGTAAGATAAGCAAATAAACAAGCAAGCAAAATAAGTGAAGTTTTCTAATAATGCTACTCCTTCCAGAAATGTCCTATTAGTTACATTGCTACCTGAAGTGGACCTAAGGTGTGTCTGTCCATACTCTCTCATAACCTTGAGTATGAAACTTTGCTTCTTTTGTACTTAAGAGGAATGTCTCATTATAGTTTAAATTTTAATTTCTTTGGTTATTGACCATACTAAAACTTGTGTGTTTTTCATAATTACTGACATTTTATGTTTCATGTTTTGTGCAATCCGTTTATCTTCATCCTCCCTGCTTCTTTCTTCCTTTTCTTTTCTTGGGGTTAATGTTTTCCTCAGTGATGTATAATGCTTTTAAAAATTTACATTAATGAATAAATCAAGTTGTTTAAGAAAACTATTAATTTCTGAAATTGTGATAGTGGTTATGTTTGTGTTCATTGCAAAATCTGTTTCAAATCTTTAAAAAATTTTTTTATTTTTAGTATCTCATCAGTTTATTTTTTATTTATCTTATTGGAGTATAATTGGTTTACAGTGTTAGTTTCTGCTATGGAACAAAGTGAATCAGCTATTTCAAGTTTTAAAAAAACAACATATGTAAGTTGAAAATTTTCCTTGATATTTTATAGCCATGTTTTTCTGATAATATTTTTTATTGTAATTCTGAAATTCTGACTAAAACTTGGGTTATTATCTTCTTCAGGGGTGTTTGGAATTATGTCCTAAGTAATACAGATCATATTTTTACAGAGTTTAAGTTTAGTTTTTGCTTGTCTGATTTGAGATAAACTCATTTATAATATATTATCAAAATACTCCTAAAGGCATTTATTTAATTATATATATATATTTATGTTGTTGCTGGATGAAAGAGGTTTTGCCTATTCTGAGTATATTGCATGTAAGAAGATGTTTTGGCAGTCTTTTTAGAGCATTCTTAGGACAGTGGAATTACAAGAAATAATACATGGCAGATAGGGCTGTGAGAATAACAAAAACAAGGTTTTTACATTGTCCTGACCTATTACATGTGACAGGAGAGAGAATGGTTGTTGTCTGTTTTTAACCCTGGCCTTGCAGTGTCCAGATGAGTGGTTTGTGTCTGGATTCTCAGAACTTTGAACATGTGTTTAAAAATTCACACTTCAAAAAAAAAAAAATTTTCACACTTCAGATTTTTCATTAAAGTAACTCTCCCCTTTTTGTATTAAGAGAAGGAAAAGCTTATCTCTTGCTTAGAAATCAGTGTTACTTGTTCTAAATTCCTTAAAAGCAACTATAAGTTTCTCAAATAATGGTAGTGTATTATGCTTAGAGACTTCCCCATTGGCTTGGCAGTAAAGAAAGTGCTGCACTGCAGGAACCACTGCAGGAGATGCAAGTTTGATCCCTGGGCCAGGAAGATCCCCTGGGGAAGGAAATGGCAATCCATGCCAGTATTCTTCCCTGGATAATCCCATGGACAGAGGAGCCTGGTGGGCTATAGTCCACGGGGGTCACAAGAATTGGACATGATTTAGCGACCACTGCAACAGTGCTTAGAGGACTCTACTATCCACCAACACTTTTCACAAATCTTGAATTTTTGCCATTATGAATATTTTGAGTATGTGTCCCCTTTATATCATGTTAGATTGGGGATCTGCACAGGAAATATAGATGAAGTTATCTTGCAGACTTTCAGTAAAAATATTAGAGTTTATAGATCCATATAGACCTGGCTCCCTTCCAGGTAAGCTTTGTGGTGAGAAATACTGCAATATTATGTTATCTTTAGCTGCCATGAATTTTAAGCAATAATTGCTTTCTGATCCTTTATCGTATGGCAAAGCTTAGTCATCTTAAGGTAGATTTGCTACTTGAAAATTGACAGAATATATTTGGCAGCATGTCTAAAGAAGAGGGTTATCTTGGTCAAGTAATTTGATACTGTCATGGAATAAGTTGTTTTATGAAAGTGAATTTTCTACATAATAAAAACTTGTCCCCTTTAAATGTTTAAATTTAGTTTTATTTCAACCACTTTGTTAGAAATGTTTATTGTTTTCTTTTAAAACATAGTACATTTGAACATAATTCAGCTTTTAATGGTTTGGGGTTCATGTTGTAAACATTTGAAAAAAACCATATGTATCATAGTGAAACCCTCTGGGAGGACTGAGATGTTAGGTCCCCCCCCCCCCCCCACTCAAACACACACACTAAGAAATCCTAACTGCTAGTTTTTAAGTTTTTTTTTTTTTTTGACTGCTTATAAGTGCTTCATCCTCTCATGCCTTAGTGACATACTGTTCATTTTTACATTACTAGATCTATGTGGCCACTTAACATCACCTTCCATCGACACTTTGACTGTCTTTTTTTCCCCTTGTGGATTAGGACTATAGAGAACTACAGTTACGAGAAATGTATGAAAAGCCTGAGTGTACTTCATTCAGTCTCAGTGCATTCATGGCAGTGGTCTTGTGGCTCTGCATTAGATCACTCGTAGGGCTTTTCCAGTTATAAATACTCAGGCCCCATCACCAGAGATTCTTATCCAGGGGGTTTCCATTCGTACTAAAAAGAGTCCAAGATAATTGTAATTTACATTTAAGTTTGAGAATCTCAAATCTTGATTTTGGAAGTTTCTGGATAAATGAGGTATTGCCACCTGACTTTGCTATTGACTTGTTTTGTGAATTAAGTGAGAATGTTTTCCACCACAGAAGGGTTTTATGAGGATTGTTGAATTAACATTGATAAACTCTAAGAATCCTTTCGGTAAAGATGTAACCACACTATCTTAACCCAGTATTATGTACATCTTTTAGGTCTTTTCAAACTCCTTAATAGTGCTAGAGCGGAGTGCTTTTTGGTTACCTACTTATTCTGAAATATATATCCTTTTCATTCTCTAAGCAGTTAATTTGAGTGCCTGTTAATGTGCCAGGATCTCTTATAGCATACTGAAGAAAGGAACAGGGTTCAATTCTTTAAAAAAGAAAAATTCTAAAGTGAGGAAAATTTAATTGAAAGGCTAGAAATACTAGCTATTTGTCAAACTGTCTTCTTCATGCTAACTTGATTGTCGAAGGAGTAGCTTTAAGGTAAATAACTGATTGTAAGACTAGGGATGGAAGTATGAAATAGTACTTAAGAGAAAAACTGGAAAAGTATAAGTATTTTATTTATTTATCTAATTTCCCTAGGGAATTTTGAATTCTGGGTATATAATTTTTCCACAGAGCCAAACCATAAATTTTAAAAATATTTGGATGTAAATCTTTCTTTTTAAAAAAATCATATACATCTTTGCCTGATATTTAGGAAATATGAGAGAAAAAACCTTTTCTAAAGCTCTCGGTCATTCTCCTGAACACCAGTTACGTATACCATGCTTATGATATAGTGAATTTCATGTTTTTGCACTGGCAAAAGCTTGCCATTTAGAAATTAAATTTGGTAATAAGTAAAACCAAGTACTGAGAGACGGTAAAAAATCAGGGAGAATAAAAGAAAGTAATGATGTGAAGATGGAATGTTAGTGCTAACTAGGATGGTCAGAGATGTTGAGGGTAGGTATTGCTGTGGGCTACTTTGTTGTTTTGTTGTATGTCTTTGGGGTTGCACTGTTCTTCCATTTCTAGTTGGGTTTGGAGAGTAAAGGGAATTATAGAAGATCTCATTTTCCAGTTGCGATAAAATGTGATAGGTGAGAAATTTATTCCTCCAAATTGTTGTTTTGCATTTTGGTGATTTAGAAATCAGTTGATTAAGAATGTATGGTAAAACCTATAATTATTAGTTTAAAATATACTTTAATATTTCCAGTATGGAACGAGGGAAATCATGTCTGCCTTTTAAGAGAACAAAACTTTCTCACTGAAGGGGTGTCAGGTTTTGGCTAATTGGTGGCAGTGACCCTTGAAGAGTCAAAAATCTCTGAATTGAATAGGCAGAGCTTAGTGCTTTGTTAGTTAAAAATTGGTATATTATTTAACATAGCCATTGCTATGTATATTGATAGCTGGCAGGGAACAGATTTATCTCAGAACAAAAAATGTATTTGCTAATGGACTGTGAGATTAAGAAAACAGATTGAGGAATTCATTTGGTATTGAAATATTTTACTGAAAAATTCTGTTTTAAACTTGTGAAACAGTTAAGAAAACAGTCAATATTTAGAGTCTTATTTAGACTATTACCAATTTCTTTACTCTTGATAAAGCCCAATTGCTTGATCTTTACAATTACCATATTTCTCCAAAAGTCCAAATGACAGGAGTGAAGACAAACTATGTCTTGTCTTGCAGACCCTTTAGGGTTTAAACTTGGAAATTTCAAATGCTTCAGTTGTAATAGTGTTCATATGCTGAAGGAAAAAGAAAAGCAAAAATATTTTATGGTACTGTTAACAAGTAAGACAGCTAATCTCTAAGGTAAATACACTTAACTGGTCGATCAATTTTACTAAAAGGTCTGGAAAGGCTGTGGACAGGGAAAGAAACCAAGTCTATACCAAGGAAGGTAATTTTACCTGTGTTAATGAGCCATTTCTCTTCCACCAAGAAACTTTGTTCTTTACATACCCATTCTTTACACACCTTTTTCTATGATGCTGCTTAGTGAATTTGCAGAAACTTAAAAATAGCAGTGGTAAACGGTGAGGATGTTTGGTATGGGTAGTAGGTTGCTATTATCAATAGGCACTGAGTCTTACTATGTACAATTTGGGTATTGGGGTTATAGTGATGAATAAAACAGGCAAAATCTGTCGGTTATACGTAAAAACAGATTACAAGTTGGAAGAGCCAGTGGTGCTCTTCTATGGCAAGATAATTTTCTTCTGTGTCTTTTATACAAAGATATGTGTTCCCCTGGCCTAAGAAAAGCAGAAAATAATATAAAATTCAATGTAAAATGTTCACCAATTTGATTATTTTTTGTCATCGAACTTATAAATGTGCTAGATTGTTTTCAGTCTCCTTATTCACAAGTAAGTGTTTGCTCTTTCATCCATAAAATCCACCTTGAATTAAGGCTTGGAGTCCACAGTGAAAGGCAGTATTACCTCCAGTGAGTAAACAATGACCTAGAACTCCTTAACTCTTCATAAAAAGGCTTTGTACAGTCAAGGATTATATCCGTTTCACATTCAGTAACTTGGGCCAGATTTGTTCCTTACAGAACCTTTCTGTGTAGTTGCTATGCCACAGAAAGCTATTGAGCTGCCATTTTTTTTTTTTGGCACTTGAATCTTACTTGTTATCAACATATGAGAAAAAAATACCTGGTGCTATCTTGTTTTTAGTCTGTTTTGTATAAAATGTTTAGCATCTTTTTGTTACTGGTTTTATGTTAGAAATATTTTAAGTCATGTTTTAAAAGATTTTGTTTTTTTTTTGTTTGTTTTACACAGTGTTAATTTGAATATTATTTTGTGACTTTGAGGGGTTGAAAAAATTTTAGACTGACCAGAGATGAAACTTTCCGTTCTCACTGACTCTTCAGGAAGCTGTGACACCCACTTGGATTCTCCTGCCAAATGTTTCCCTCTGTGACTTTGATTCATAGACTTTGAAGCATTGTTGACCACATTGGCAGTTTGCCTAGAATCCACATGCCCTGTATAATTAGCATAATAATTACCATTGATTTACATACAGTGTAGTCTGAAATGTGTTCCTGCATTTAAACTGAAAAAAAAATTTTTTTAAAAACTAAAGCCCTTTTTCCTTACCTAGCCCTCTAAGTTTTGGGACAGGGGTCATAGCTGTGTATTTACAGGCCCTAATCAGTTTCCACAGGCCTTTGTATTTCTTAAGATGTCTGTTAGATTTCTGTATCCTGTGTGTGACACAGTTTCTTGGCTTCTACTCTCTATGTTCCCACCTCCACTACTGTTTCCTTCTTACTTGCCATATTCCTCCTGATCTTACCTCCTAGTTTTCTTTGCTTCTTATGTTCACATCATGTTTTGTCATCTTTCTTCTCTCCTCAATAATGAAAAAAGGGATTATTTGTTATTTTTACTCTGCCACGTGGCTGGTGAGAGAGGCAGTTTAAATGTTGTATGTTGAACAAATGGTGGTTAAACTGGAAGACATGAACCCCAAAAGTGAACTTCTCTCTGGCACTGTTTAGACCTTGCCCAAGATACTGTCACCCTCAGGAAGCACAGGCATTTAAGGTTGATGTCCTTGTCACCTGCCTTCCTTCCCCCATACCCTTCTAATTTATTAAGGAATATGCTTAACAGTAGTTTGGTAGTCTTAGAATAACCTTAGAGGTCCTTAACAGGACCGTTCTGACTCCAAATAGTATTCTAGGTTGACTTAAAAACAGTTTTCCTTTTTACTTCTCTAAGAAAAAAGAAAAAGGAAAATAGAATAGGTAAGCATTTGTATGGTTCAGAAAAATACTTTAAAGTATGTTTAGTGTAAAGTCTCTCTCCTACCATATCTTTTGCCAAGTTTCTCAGCCATGACCACCAAATTTATATACATTTATGTACATCCTTCTCAAATAGCTTTTATGCATATGCAAACATATATATTGCTGTATGTATTATCTTATATTCAAACTTAACAAAATTATATACTAGATTCTAACCCTGTTTTTTGTATTTTTTTTTTACTTAAGAGCAAATCCTGGAGCTCTTTCTATATAAGTATATAAAGAGCTTTCTCTTTTTATTTCACAACCACGTAATATTAAGTTGTATTCATTTTTCATGATTTATTTAACCATTCCTATCTGATTGATATTTATACCATGTCTAGAACATAAGACTTGTACTGCATATGTGATATTTTAAAGTTGAAAATAAAACTATACTCATCCTAACAGAGAACACTTGGGGACTCTTATTAGACATCAGCTTTGGAGAGGAGAGGACACAGTGCTGAAATTTTACTTAACCAGCTTCCAAGGTTTTATTAGTAATTTTTACCCACTCTGAGTCACATTGTACTTTCTTCAAATAATGATAAAATTATTCCAGTAGCCCTCTCAAGATTATCTAGGAAAAAAATACTTCATAATCTCTGGTGACCACTGTTTGCATTAAAAGGCATTATCTTTTTTATAATTAGTATTACATTTTAAAAGTTTCTTTCTTTTGTTTTGCCTTTTTTTTTTTAAACCAGATCCTTACAATAAATGAGGATGGATCACTTGGTTTGAAAACCCCTAAATCTCACGTTTGTGAGCACTGCAATGCTGCCTTTAGAACGAACTATCACTTACAGAGACATGTCTTCATTCATACAGGTATTTCTTGAATTAAAGTGGGCTTATGGCCGTTAAAATTATTATCTTTGCTATTTTCATCTTCTTATAAATGTCATTCATTCCTAAGACTGTAGTTAACCTGGCATTTTAAATCAGAGTTTTCATAGGCCAGGGTGTCACAAGGAAACCAAGAAAAACTTTAAATGAGGAAACAATTAGCATGGATGTGCAAAATTAATTAGCTTAGTTAAACACTTTATTTGGCTTAATGTATTCTTTTTAACCAGAGAAACAGTTAAAGAATGAACTATTAAAAGCCTGTCAACATTTATTTTTCTGTATAAGATGTCCAGATGGAATTTGAAATATGAATTTGGAATCAAATATAAAAAGTTAGACCATAAAGTTGTGGAGATCAGAGCAAAAGACTGATCACAGATCTTTGGGGAAATATTACTAGACATGTATGTTGAGTTAAAGGGTGGGGAAGGAGACAGAGTAATAAATAATAAGGTAGATTTGATGAACTGGTAAAATACACCCAGAAACCAAAAGAGGAGAGAATTCCAAGGAGGAATCAGTAACTGCACAACCTTCGGAGAGGAGAGAGAAAGAGCAAGAGAGAGAATTGAAAACAGATCCTTAGAATAAATAGCAAGGAGATCACTAGTATTTTTTTTTTACTAGTATCTTTTAAGAAAGCAGAGTATAAGGGTTAAAGGACAAATGGGTGGTGAAGAATTTGAGACATAGGTTGGACTATGAAAGGAAAGGCTCCAACAGAGAGGGAATGTTTGAAGAGACAGGATTGTTGTTTTTTTAAGAGGATGTTTAGAAAGTTTTGAAGGTTCTAGAGAAAAAAGTGAAAAGGCATAAAGTGGTGGTTAGCCAGGGAGAACAAGGTAGGTGGATCTTCCTCCACAAAGAAAGCAAAGCTGTTTAAGACACTTGGTAACCTGTGGAGGCCTTTTAGTATCATGAGTTTTAAATTCTATTGTAAATTGTTTTATTTATTTACTTTTTTTTTCCCTTGAAGGATATAGATCATATTCAGTCTAATTTTTGTGTGGTTGTGAGAATGTGAATTTTTGAATCTTGGGGGGGGGGTGGAAATTGAGAGGAAATAAAATTCTGTTAATGAATAGTATAAAACCTTTGTATGCATAATTTGCAATTTTTCAGAATTTGGGCTTCTAAGATTTCTCTTTCCTCAGAAATAGTTGACTCTAAACTGTGTTTTATTCAGTAACTAATTTGTGGATGTGAAATTATTTTAAGGTGAAAAACCATTTCAATGTAGTCAATGTGACATGCGTTTCATACAGAAGTACCTGCTACAGAGACATGAGAAGATTCATACTGGTGAGTGTTGCCACCCTTACTAGGGTTGTTAAAATTACCATTTCAAATATAAGGAAGAATTTTTAATAAGTAGCAACAACTTGTTGCCTCTTTGGTAATTTTGTTTAAGAGTATTTATCACAGCTCATCTTTTTTTCTTTCTTCAGTAAATCAGTGTTAACTATTAAGACTTGACTTACTGTTTTAGCCTAATAAATTACTTTGAAGTAAAGTTTCATAACTTAAGATATGTTTAAAGTGACAAAGGGAAGGAAGGAAGGAAGTTTTTGTGAAGTAGTTATTTCCTTAGATGTTTAACAGGTTTAGAGTAGGTAAAATTATCATTTGCGATAATTAGGGGGGAGGAAGCAAAATGCCTGAATCTTAAATAGCGATATCACTCCCCCCACCCCTATTTCATGTATATAGCTTACTATATCAAGAGAGTTATAATGTTATAAATTGGAAACTTCCAATTTTTCATTCAAGTTGTTAAGGATTTAGAAACAAATGTTTTGGAAGATTACTATAAAAGAACCCATACCTTTAAAAGTTGAGCCTCATTTTAGAGCAAATGTTAATTTGCATTTATTCTTTTTTTTTTTAAGCAAATGTAAAGCCAAATTTTATATGTGACCTTAATTTAGTAAATTGTGAGCTTTTGACATCTGTAAGCACGATGAAAAGTGTTTCTTTATAATTTATTTCCAGCATTTTGCCTTTTTGTGATGGAGTGAAAGAGTTGGTAAATTTATATAACTTTGGTTCTTACATTTAAGTAGAATTGAAAAATGATAGTGATAATATTTAAATGTTGAAAATACTAAAGTTTCTCATATACCTCCGTATGAAGTAATCAAGCAGCTACCCTCCCAGTGTTGTTATTTAGATGTGTTCTCGTGGTACCTGCAGTCCCTGTGAAAGAGGATCCTTGGACAGTTTATCATATAGAAGCAGCAAGCTTTTCTAGTAACTTAACTTTACTTAACTAGTAAACTTTCCTTAACTAGTAACTTTCCTTAAATTTATTTGCCCCTAACAAACATGAATGTGGCTGGTTCCCTGTGCAGCACATTTTTATGCTTTGATGTTCTACTTTTCAAAGATCATTATGCACACCATTCATTTCAGTTTCTTAAGTAAACATTATTCACCATTTCCAGTTGGAAGGAAGTATACAAGGCACTTGGGAGGAAGAACAGCTTTATTGATTGTGTGTGTGTGTGTGTGTGACTTATATGGCTAAATTAAAATTTTATACAATAATAAAACCCAGTCAGATAGTGATAAATGAAAACAGTTAAATATTTTTATATGTTTTTAATGCCTATTAGATTTTAATGATTTAATGATTCATTCAACAAACATTTATTGAGCTGGCAGTGTTTTTCAGATACTGGAAATAGAGGATAATAAATGGCAGCTTCTGTGGAGTTCACATCCTTTTTTTAAATTTTCACTAGAGTATAGTTGATTTACCATTTTGTGTTAGTTTCAAAGTGTACAGCAAAGTGAATCAGCTATGCATATACATACATCCACTGTTTTTTTAGATTCTTTTCCCATTATAGGCTATTACCAAGTATTGAGTAGATTTCCCTGTGCTATGCAGTAGGTTGTTATTAGCCATGTATTTTACATACAGTAGTATGTTTATGTCATTACCAGTCTCCCAGTTTGTCCCTGCCCTCCCCTATCCCCTGTTAGCCATAAGACTGTTTTCTACATCTGTGATTCCTGTTTTGTAAATAAGTTCATTATGATATTTGTCTTTTTATCTGGCTTCACTCAGTGTGATAATCTCTAGGTCTACTCATGTTGCTGCAAATGACATTATTTTGTTCTTTTTTATGGCTGAGTAATATTCCATTGTCTATATGTGCCATCTTTATCCATTCTTCTGTTGGTGGACGTTTAGTATTGCTTCCATGTTCCGACTATTGTAAATAGTACTGCAGTGAACATTGGCTTGCGTGTATCTTTTCAAATTATGTTTTTTTTCTAGTTTCGGTTTATAAAAACTAAAATAAAATATTATGATTTTTCTCTAGGAGTGGGATTGTTGGGTCATATGGTAGTTCTATCTTTAAAGGAATCTCCATACTGTTGTCCATAGTGGCCATACCCATTTACATTCCCACCAGCAGTGTAAGAGGGTTCTCTTTTCTCCATACCCTCTCCAGCATTTATTGTTTGTAGATTTTTTGATGGTGGCCATTTTGAAGAGTGTGGGGCAACACCTCATTGTAATTTTGATTTGCATTTCTCTGATAGCAGTGTTGGAGTTTACATTCTAATGTGAGAGACACATATGTAAAGCCCACTGTAGTAGGCTTTTGTTGTAGAGTTTTGTACAAAATGCTGTTGTACCCTGAAGAAGAGCCAGATATGCTGCTTTTGAAGACTACATAGTGAAGGCAATAAAGAAAAACTGGGAGGCTCAGTTGAGAGAATGTGTTTGAGTCTGAAAAAAAGATTTTCAAAACATTACTTACCCTTATTGCACCCTATTATTTTCTATTCTGTTTTAGTAGCAAGTTCTTTTTTACAGTGCTGGTCACAATTTAGTGATACCAGTTTGGAAAAATAATTGTGTTGAGCCATGGGCTATCTTGAATTTCAACAGGTTATGTTGGTTAGTTCATGTTGAGAATTTACTAAGACTAGACGCTGGGCTAAATGTTTGTTAAATGTCTCACTTAGTCTTCATACTAATCTTGAAAGGGAGGCGCTATTATTACCATTCCCGTATTTTTAGATGAAGAAGCAGTAGGATGCACACAGAAGTTAAGAAGCTTTCCTAAATTTATATAATCTAGTATATATATGGTGGAGCCAAGATTCTAGCTCAGGTTTCTGCAACTCCAGAGCACACATGTGAAATCACTTAACTGTGAAGAATGACCAGAAGCAGAATAATGTTGTTTGGCCTTTGGGAATTTTTCTTGCTCTACTACTAAGCCAGTTATGGCTTAGCCTTCCTGTGGGTTTACTAACACTTAAAAGGGGTGGAAGCAAAGGCCGGAGTTCTCAAGGTACAAAAAAGAAGTGAAGCTGCTCAGTCATGTCCAACTCTTTGTGCCCTGTGGACTGTAGCCTACCAGGCTCCCTCCATCCATGGAATTTTCTAGGCAAGAGTACTGGAGTGGGTTGCCATTTCCTTCTCCAGAGAATTTTCCCGACCCAGGGATCGAACCCTGGTCCCCCACATTGCAGGCAGACACTTTACCATCTGAGCCACCTGGGAGGCATTCCAGGGTACAGAGATGACAGGGAATAGAGTGGAACCAGTCAAACCAGTCACTATGATTCTTTAACAGAGAAGTTTCTTTTGAAGAGAAATGCAGTTTTGCTTCATTATCACCACCCCTAACCCCCCAAGTGGAACTGATGTAAAGGAAGTAAATTTTCCTTTATTTCATTGTTCTTGATTCTTTTTGTGTACACTGTTCCTGAAGATAGTAAGATATTTTTGTCCTGTTACCAGGTTACTTATGAGCTGTACTGAGCTGGAAATATATGTATAAAACAACATAGATATTCTCCATCATTTATTATTTTGTTCTTAGAGTTATTTCATATTTTAAAGGACTTTTATTTTTGGAGGGTATTGTGCCTAAAGTATGCCAATGTCAAGACTTTCTCTGTAGGTCTTTATGTAGAAGAATGCACTGAAATAGTAGCAGTAAAAAAGCTTTTGCATATATTGTTTATCCATTTTTAAATTGTCAAGAAAGTAATGTCACCTATCTGCTGAACCTTAAACGTTGTGTGGTGAGAAGAACTACCAGTTCTTACAGGCTTTGTTTTCCTTATAGCCTCCCTCATCCTTTTGGATCTCTTTATACTGTCACCTCCAGTCTCCCAGCCTCTGAGCCTATGTCTGTTCCATTTGCAAGATGGTTAAAAATCATTACCTGCTTGGCTGCTCTTGTTACCAATTAAGAAATCTTCTGTGGCTTTTAAAACCCAGAAACCTAGCTTAATTTGGTTTTCAAACTGAAAAAATTTAAACTCAGCCTGGACAGGTTATTATTACTTGACTGTTTGCTAATTCGAACTGGCCTATGAAATACCATTTTAGGGTAGATTACCAACGCTGGTCCCTGAACATTTGATTAAAGCTCTGTTCTTTTAGCCTAAAGCACTGAAACTGTCAAAAGTCAGATATCCTTGGGACTGCTAATTTTGGCAGTTATGGGAGATTTATATCTTTTGGAAGTGTATTACAGATTTTGTGGATATGGGAGATAAGGTGAGGATTTGAAGCCAAGGTTGAAGATAATAATCCTAATGATTGTTTTGGTTAGGGTCAGAATTACTGGTAAGGTATACACCAAAGGTAAACATTCATCACTGGGGGATTTACCTTGTGATCAGGTGCATGTATCTAAGGTGCTTTTTCCTTTGCATTTTCTAATGCATGTGTTCTTTCTCTCATCACTTTGTCACCATTTTAGTCTAAGGAAATTCCGTCTTATTGCCATGAGTAGGGTCTGGGGGTTTGAAGAATAAACAGCTTTAATTTTATATTAATTTTGTGAATTCCTTGAAGTAGTAAGCCACAGAATACTTACTCTAATATTCTGACTATTATAGCAGATTATGGCTATTTTCTGTAGTTGTGGCAATTTTCATAATGCTTTTTATTTTATTAGTAAAAATGTTATAAAATAATGTCTATGTTTGGGTAAGTTTTTATAAAGTGATTTTCTTCCCAAAATAAAAGGGATTTTGAAAATAAACCAAATCATTTAGAATTATACATATTTATTAGGTTTCTTTTCTCACAAAATTCTTTTTTAAGGCTTTAGATCTTGAATGTATGCAGTTCTATAGATACAAATGTAGCAAGAAACACTGGAAAATCAGTCTTCTAAGTTGGCATTCTTAATATCTGAAAACATGCATTGATCTTCTTTTCCTCTCGACTGTGACTTTTATTCACAACCATGTTAAATAGCTGAATGACAATATTATTATTATTACTATTTTTAAAACCAGTTTGGCTAATGAGGTGG